CCCCCCCGCTCCCCTCTCCCACTCCTGGCACGTGTTGGCACAGTGGGCCTGGTAGGCCCGTTTTTCTCTTTCCCCAGGCTCCAGAGCCTTTCTAGGAGCTTGGGGAGGGCAAAAATGGCCTTCCCCATGCCTCTGGAGGCCCTCTGGAGGCTGGAAATGGCCCATTTGCCAACTTCCGGTGGGACCGGAAGGCTCTGGAGCCTGGGGAGGGCAAAAACGGCCTTCCCCATCACTCTGGAGGCCCTCCGGAGGCCCAAAATATTGTCTGTTTCTGGCCTCTGGAGGGCCTCCCGGGTGGGGTGAGGTGGGGATGGCTGTTTTCGCCCTCCCCAAGCTCCTAGAAAGGTTCTGGAGCCTGGGAAGAGAGAAAAACAGGTTTTCCCCACCACCACCACCTGAGGCCCTCCTGTTTCTCTAATTTGGGTGGGCCCAGAAGGCCTGAAAATTAGCTGGCCGGCGCGCATGTGCGCCAGAGCTGAGCTCACGTGACCACTGATATGGCTACATGTGCCACCTGTGGCACGCGTGCCATAGGTTCGCCATCACGGATATAGGGTCTACTTGGGGTTGGACTAGAAGACCTCCAAGGGTCCCTTTCAACTCTCTTATTCTGCCTGTTTTGTATTGAGGGAACTGAGGCACTGGTACGAAACAAATGCGTAACATTAACCTGGCTACCCTCAAGGAAGTCGGCATTCATTTAACCAGGAAAGCCACACTATATGTTGTAACGGCAGACTGTTTTTAACTCCCGTTTGTAACTTTTGTGTCCGGCAAAGGTATAGATTTTGCAACGCGTAAGATAGCAAACATGCTGAAGCCCCAAAAGTTCATAAAACAGGAAGGGGACGTGTTTTCTATCCAGACGACGAGCACTTTTCGAAACTATTCTGTCAAGTTCAAAATTGGAGAGGAGTTTGATGAAGATAACAAAGGATTGGACAACCGTAAATGCAGAGTAAGTAAAGCATCCAGACCTTGAAAACTTTTAAATGAACAGTTTTGGCAATAAGCATTGACTTGGACATATCTTTAAATATTTCCTTATGTGTTTCAAAAACTCTTTTTTTTCCCCTTGGGGCTTTTGAAAGTAGATATTGACAATGTTTGGTCTGGTTTTTATATGCTGAGACTTTTGCCAACTCTTAGTAAACATTTCTTCATACTAGACCAAATTCTTTCAGCCTCCTTAGTTGAAGGTTATATAAATATATATTTTAACTTCCTTTAATAGACGTATGAGCATATCACATCAGTTTGCATTGCAAAAGGGCAGCAGCTTATTAAAGATTAATAACTGATTTAATATGATCAGTTGGTCTTCCTCATGAAGAAGTATGAAATATAAATAAAACTGAAGCCCTTTTTCTCCTGGAATTGTGTTTTTTTTTAGGGGAAGGAATTGGCTCTGTACATCTTAGCTTGACCCAGAGTTCTTGAGAATCATAAGCCCAGTAATTGAAAAATGCTGGCAGTTTAAATTTTTTAAGAAGCCATCATTGATAGAAAAATGTGGGCTAAAATGTTATTTTTTAGAAATCTGTTTCCATACCATTTTAAATATACTTATTTGTTGCCGTTTAAAATTAAACATTTTTTAAAATATGATTTTTCCCCCCCCTCTTCCGATGCAGAGTGTGGTGACTTGGGACAAAGATAAAATTGTCTGCACCCAGAACGGAGAAAAGAAAAACAGAGGCTGGTCCCACTGGATTGAAGGAGATGAGCTGTATTTGGTAGGAAATGTTTAGGGTGGATTAAGTTGAATTGATCTAGATAGAATGAGAGCCAGCTCTCAGGGGCCCCGGGGTTGGGAAAAGATTCATCCATCTCTCTTAAATATTCCACACATGAGCTTCATGGACTTAAAGCATCTCTATGAAGAAACTGCAAGTATTTTTTTTTCCACAAGCTCAGGACACAAAATGTGGATTCATCTAATTGTTTTCCAGTTTAACTGTGGCCCTGTGGTCTTAAACCCAAGCGATTGTGGCTTGTTCTGTCAATAATGCTTAAACATAAATTAGCATCATGAAGCATCCTGTGTAGGCCAGAGATGGGATTCGCTTAACTTCCCTACCGGTTTGCAAATCTGAGTGCTTTTACGTGCCTCATCTGTGCATGTGCATGATCTGCGCAGTACTTGTGCATTACGTCCGGGCAGTCGCCACTACCAGTTCGGAGAGAACTGGCTGAATCCTACCACTGCTGTACGAATTGTGAACCTATTCCGCTCTATCCAAGTAATGTAAAAATGGAAGCAGTGGAATGGAAACCAAACGATGATGAAGACAAATCAGGGTTTTTGATCCTAGTTTGGCTTTAGTTAAGCGGTGGAGGCGAGCTGGATTGTGAGGGTAGATTTGAGAGGCCAGGCAGGGCTATCTACAACCCATCCTGGCTAAACGTAGCTTGAGGGTTGGGTTCCCAGGCATTGAGGCCTCAGTACTGTATGGCTGTCTTTATGCGTAGGAGCTCCGTTGCGAAGGCCAGACAAGCACGCAAGTTTTCAAGCGAGCGTGACACTCAAACGGGACTTTTCAGAAAGAGAGCTGCACAAGGCACCTTCAAGGCATGACTTCTTTTCCCTGCAAGTCAACAACGTGGAAACTTCAGTATTTTCTCCTTATCGGAAATGCTCTTAAGGATTCCTGGAGCAAATAAAAGGAAGCTGTTACGAAGTCACTTCATTAAACATATTGGCAACGCAGCTCGGAGTTTCTGGTCTCTATGGTGCCACTCGCTTGTGCCAAAATACTTTCTTTGGGGGGGTGCTTTAGGGATGGATGGGATGGGGGAAACCCTGATACTCAACTTGACTCCCCTTCATACATTAAGACACCGTAGGGTTTGCCTGCATTTTCCTCTCTGGTTTAGCATGTTATCTGACCCCAATTTTCACTTTATAAACCACGATTGTTGGCTTAGCATGTTATAGGTGCCTTTCCGACTTATTGAGGTTGGCTTCTTCCTTTTGTTGACATATGCAATTTTCTACTTGCAGGAGAATTTCCAAATAGGGTAGAAATCTGGACCAAGTTTACAAACCACCTGGGTGCTTGATCTTATCAGTTAGTTGGAAAAAGCCATCCTGATTTTTTTTTTTTTGCTACCTGAGGATTATTTAACACAGCTCTCCTGCTGCGTCTGAAATGAGCTGGAGAGCAGGATCTGGCCTTATTCACATGACACTTAACTTACATATTGAATTAACTAGGTTTAGGAGGATGAAGCTGAATCGAGCGTGGGGTGCAGCTGCCAGAATTTAACAGTAAGTTGGAAGGGACCTTGGAGGTCATTTAGTCCAACCCCCTGCTCATGCGGACCTATACTAGGGATTCGAACCACCGACGTTTTTGATCGACAAGCTCAGCATCTTAGCCACAATTTGAACTACATCCTCAGTTTGTTCCCTTGCAAGTGCAAATGGGGGGCCACGAGCACCGAGCAAAATTTATTAGTTTCAAAGCCGGTCACCCTGAAAGTATTTTTCCCCTTGCCTTGTTGGGGGAATGGCACTCCTCCCTCTAGTCTGTTGTTCTATGATTTATATTGTTTAAATTTATTTTTCATCCCCCCCAACCTTTGATAGTAAATTGCTTTAATAAGCCCAATGACAAGGCTTTTTAAAACCTATGGAAGTTTTTTTAGGGTGTGCCAACTTAAGTCTATTTTCCACTTCAAGATGAACCAATTTGTGGTACAGATCTAGACAATGGAACTTGTCTGGGTAAATAAAGCCCACTTTCCGAAGCTTTTTTTTTTAAAAAATCTTGAAATGAGCCATTCAACCATGATGCGCAAATTAACGATTTACATGACATGACACCAAGAAACCAGCTGTTTTTGTGGTGCTTTTTATTGCTTTTTATAAAATTAAATAATTTTTAATTTTATTATATAAACATATATATATATATATATATATATATGTTATATAAATATATATTATAATTTAATTATAAAATAATTATATTATTTTAATAAATAAATATAATTTAATTATATAAAATATATTTTAATAAATAATTAAATAAAATTAAAACCGATTTTATATTGGTTTAATTGAACTGCGCCTCGCAAGCTCCCAATTTAATTTGAACAGGTTTTGATTTGGCGCCATTCTGGCTCCACCCCCTTTCTCCCTCCCCCTCCCCGCTCTTGGCCCTCCACCTGTTGCTATGGCGCAGGCCCCAACAAGCCCCGCCTACCGCCTCGCGTTACAGTAGCTTGCTTTGTCAGCCAGGCTCTCAGGAATTCTGGGAGTTGAAGTCCACAGGTTGTAAAAGAGCCACATTTGCCCACCCCTTAATTTGACTACAGAAAGGAGTGGGCTCTTTTTTTTTTTTTTTCCTTCCCCTCCTCTCTCTTCCCATTGGCTAACCGAACTGATGATAAGCTTATTAGTCAACTTGGAAGGAGGGAGGATTTCCTTTACTGCTATTGGCCAACGCAGCCCATCATTCACGAGTGTCAGACGTTGAGGGTGGGTGGGGGGGGGGCGGAACCGCCGTTTTTTTTCTTTTTCTTCCCCCTCCTCCCCTCCTTGGCTTCCCAACCTCATCGTGGACTTCCCGAGGCGGCGCATGCGCGCCCCTCCAAACGCGCTCACGCACACGCGAGAGGGGCTGCGCAGGGTCACGTGATCCGACGCCAAGATGGCCGCCGCCGCCTTCTTCTTGTTTTGATGAATAATCTCCGTGAGGGGAGGCAGCGGCTGAGGGGGAAAGTGGGGCTCCGGCGGTCGCGCGTGGGCGGGAGTTGGGAGGCGCGGGGGCTTCGGCCGGTGAGCCTTTGCCTCCCCCCGCCCGTCTAATTCGGGCCAGGGGAGTTTCCAAGCGAGGGGGGGGGAGGTGGTCGTCAGGGCCAAGTGTGTGTGGGGGGGAGGGGAGACCGGGTGGGCCTTCCCGCCAAGAGAGAGGGGGAGGGGGTGTTGTTGGTCGCAGCGGGCCTGGTGGGGAGGGGAAAGCGAGGGGGTGTGGGGAAAAGGCTCCCTATGGGACCCCCGGGGCTGCTGGCGCATCCACGAGGCTCGGGGGAGAAGCAGCAGCGGGGGGGAGGCCCCAGGCCCAGCGGCTCCCTTGGGACCCCCGAAGTGGAGTGAGGGAGCAGCCCCAGTGTGTGTGTGTGGGGGGGTGTCTCTATACAGGTGGGGGGCGGGGAGAGGCCCTCAGGACAGGTTAGGCCAAGAGGGCAGGTAGGGCTTGAGCCCCAGATGCAGCCAGGCTAGGCCGCAAGGGAGGAAAGAAGGAAGCGCTTGCATGCAAAAGGGAAAGACGGGGAGCCCTTCTGACGGGGTGGCGGCCATAGGACGCTCCCAACCCCGGGATTAGAGCGGTGGTGGTGGTGGTGGTGGTGGGAAAACCAGTTTAGATAAGCGAGCAGGGTCTGGAAGAAGAGGAGGAGGAGGAGCAGGAAGGAAGGAAGAAAGGAGGGAGGGCGGGCAGTGGATGCAGTTCAGGCGGTACGAAGCCTGGAGGAAGGACCCAGTGGATCTCTAAAGGCAGATCTATATCTATTTGGTGTTGGGGGGGACGGACGGAAGGACAGGGTTGCTCTTAAACCTCTGACTATGCACTTCTGAGAGCTCCTTAGGGAAAGAGGCAGCAACCAGGAATAGGGGTTAACTGAAAGCCATCTCCTCCTCCTCCTCCTCCTCCCTCCCTCCATCCATCCAAGCATCTCCCTCGAGGGAAGCAAGCGGAGTCCTCCTCCCCACCCCCCCAAACGCCTTTCACCATTAAGAGGAAAATTATGGAGGAGTTGAGTGCTGATGAGGTAAGTTTTGTGTTTTTCTGTGTGTTTGTGTGTGTGTGGGTGTGGGAGGGGGAGCGAAGATGATAACTAGGAATGTGTGTTTGTGTGTGTGTGTGTGGGGGGGAGCGCAGATGATAACTAGGAATGTGTGTTTCATTTATTGTCATTGCACATGGTATGACAAAATTAAATGCTGTCTTCCGTGTACATTAGAACTATAAAGATAAAGACACAAACGTACATCTTTCACATTCAGTATAATTGAAATTGAAAACCCCTGATACTGCATTAATATTGCACTGTACAGTAGAATTCAATATAGTTACTGCTCTGGGATAGAAGCTGTTTTTCAGCCTATTTGTCCTTTGTTTTTATTATCCTGTACCGTCTGTCAGATGGTAATAGTTCAAAAAAAAAAAAAAAGGGTGGCCAGGATGAGATGGATCTTTAAGAATGTTTTGAACTTTCTTAAGGCAGTGGGAGCTATAAAGCTCTTCCAAAGAGGGGAGAGGGCAGCCAATGATCCAATGTTTGGTTGTGCTGAAGGTGGTTTGCACAGACCACCTTTTATAGGTACAAGAGTTGGGTAGGGGAAGTGAAGGGTTCTGTACCTTGGGATGAAGTTGGTGGGGTTGTCCTAATTCCTCCTTTTCTTTCTATCTGCTCACTAAGAAAATAGAATAGAATAGAATAGAATAGAATAGAATAGAATAGAATAGAATAGAATAGAATAGAATAGAATAACAAGAGTTAGAAGGGACCTTGGAGGTCTTCTAGTCCAACCCCCTGCTTAGGCAGGAAACCCTCCACCACTTCAGACAAATGGTTATAGTCAAGGAAGATTTTAGAATTTATTTCTGATCAAAAACCAAGTTTGACAGTAACCAGGTTTTTGTTTTTTGTTTTTTTAACAAAGGCAGTATTTTCAGGGGGTTTTGGTTGCTATTTTAAAGATGGGTTTTTTTGGGGATAGGACAAACATGTCAGGGAGCTTAGAAAAGGCTCTTGAATTTTCACCCTCCACCCCCCCCACCCCCGTTTTTTGTAAATCTTTGTAACTTGAGAGTCCAGGTCTGAGCTGACAGCCAGGAAGGTAGCAGAATGTGTAGTTCCATTAACAGGTCTGCCTATGTGGAAATATTAAATTAACTTTTTTTTTTCAAATGAAGAACTTAATTACTTCCATGTGACAAGGTTATTTATTATATGACTAGGAGGTTGTTGGTTATTAAGAGGGTGAGGTGTTCTTGAGAGTATTTCCTGTCTTGAAGGATGTCCTGTATTTTACTCAGGCTTAGTATGTTGTGTTCAGCTTTATAAAATATTTTAAAATGATTGCAACTATGCAGGGAACAGGCGGTATGTTGTAGCACATCGTGTTTTCTCCATTTCTCTTCATTCTAGTCCTAATCTTTTCTTCCCCTATTCTATAATGGAATGTGTATGTTACCAATTAAAACAGATGTTGAAAATCTGATCTATAAAATATTTATATTATATTTATATTTGAGCATCTGTTGCACCTTTTTAATACATTTGTATTTCTGGTTTATGTAGTAGCCTAACAAGACAAGATGAAGAGCGCACAAAAATTCTACCTTATTTGTTCTAAGAAGGGAGACTTCCCTCCTATGAATAAACTATCATGTGTAGCTTTCATCTTAATGAGTCTTATAGCAGTGCACGGTAAATTCCTAAAACAAAACTAGAATTCACCCTTTCAGAAAGAAAAAGCAGTACTGAAATATTAGGTGAAATCAGACTCAAACAGAGGAATAACGAGCGTGAGTAAATTCTGTGGTTTAGGAAAGCCTTCTCTAACTTTGATTCCTTTGAGATAAACTGGATTTAAGCTTCCATAATTCCCAGCCAGAAGGTATTTGGGTGGAGAAAGGTGGTTTAGGAACTGTGATCAAAGGGTGAAAAATCTTGGATACATAGAAAACATGCTTTACTAAACCAGATCACAGGCTGCAATCCTTACCTTTGATAGCAGGATTGGCCTATAACCATGAACTATGGTGTCTAAGCCCAGTTCAAACTATGGTTTGAAGGCAATCCAGTTTAATTACAGATAGTCCTTGACTTAAAACTGTTTAGTGACAAGTTACGACATCACTAAAAAAAAGTGAGTTATGACCGTTTTTCACCCTTACAACCATTACAGCATCATCATGGTCATGTGATCAAAATTCAGACTCTTGGAAATCGACTCATATTTATGACGGTTGCCGTGTCCCAGCTGATCCCTTTTTGCAACCTTCTGACAAGCAAAGTCAATGGGGGAAGCCAGATTCGTTTAACTGTGTTACTAATTTAACAAGTGCAACTTAACAACTGTGGCAAGAGAGGCCTTAAAATGGGGCAAAACTCGCTTAACAAATGTCTCACTTAGTCACAGAAGTTTTGGGCTCAGTTGTCATAAGTCAAGGACCAACTGTACTAATCCTGGTATGCCCAACCTTTTGGGGGAAACTGTGGATGGAAATTACGAAAAAGTACGGGACTGGATAGCTGGGAAAAATAGTGTTAGTTTGTGGCATATTTCTATAAACCCTGGTATCCAAACTACTAATCAAGCTGCATTTTGTGAGCACTTTGTGTGTGCGCGCACAAATTAAATGGAACAATTTACAGCATGTTTACCTACGTGTTAAGTTGTGTGTGTGCTGATGGTTTATCCTAATTAGCTAAGGAAAAGATCCACTATGCTCAGCTGCAGAAGCAAAAACCTAGGAGTAATTTAGGAATATTGAGTGTCCTGCTTTGACAATGGTATCACACTTGGGCTAGGAATGCAGTGATTAATTGGAAGGGAGTGTGTTATTGCTAAGTGATTCTCTCCCACCCAACTACTCCTCTGTAAACTAAGCAGTGAGAAGTCAATGTGGGGGGATCTGCTCTTGCGGGACAGGAGCCAATCAGAAAGCAATCAGTACAGAGCTGGAAGGGACCTTGGAGGTCTTCTAGTCCAACCCCCTGCTCAGGCATTTCAGACAAGTGATTGTCTAGTTCAGGGGTCAGCAACCTGTGGCTCTGGAGCCGCATGTGGCTCTTTCATCCCTCTGCTGCGGCTCCCTGTTGCTGGTCGGCTCCACAATTGATAGGGCTTTCGGTTAGGACAGGTAGAGGAAAAAGGACACTGTGCTAGGAGGAGAACTCTATGGTGGGGGAACCGGACTTTCGATCGGCTCCAGAATTCAACGGAGGCTTCTGGTTGGGACCTTTGTGGCTCTTTGAGCGTTTAAGGTTGCCGACCCCTGGTCTACTTTCTTCTTAAAAGCCTCCAGTGATGGAGCCACCCACAACTTCTGAAGGCAAGATCTTCTACTGGCTAATTGTCCTCACTGTTAGGAAGTTTCTCCTTCATTCCATGTTGCTTCTCTCCTTGATTAGTTTCCATGTCCAACCTACTTGACCGCTAGTTTAAAAAGGCTACTGAAACCCATCCGCAATTGTTTAGACACAATTGCCAACGTGTACCCATTTATTGGAGACAAGTTGCACATAAATTAGAGATTTGAATTCGTCTTTACACTTATCAGCACTCTAGTTTGGCCTTCTGGCTGGAGATGCAGTGGGGATCCATTCCAAGCGCTCTCAAGGTTGTTTGTTACGCATCTTGCTTGCAGGAGGAGATATTTTCCCAGTAAGAGATTTCTTGGGAAGATCCTCCAGAAGTAGGTTAGATCGACCTTTGCTAGGTACCCTTGAAGCAGGGATTATTTCTGTGTGGGACACTCTGTGCCCCGATGCAGAAGGTGCTTAAGAATTGTTTCCAAATACAAGATTTGGCCATGGAATTACGGATGCCACATAGGGGCGTATTTATCCGAGTGGTGGAATTCCTGCCGAACCGCCTGGAACTACCTCATGAGGTGACTTGAGGGAACCTACCTCCCTGGGGGTGGGTGAGAGAGAAAGACAATGTTCAGGAATATCATAGAGGCGAAAAATAAGTATAAACAAGAAGGGATCTGTGCTGTGTGTTCAACCTGCAAATGATTGGTACTCCTATTGCATATAGAACTGGACGTTTTGTGGTCAGCTTCAAAAGATCACCTTTTTTTTTTTTTTGCCCCCCCCCCCCCCCCCCAACATGCTGGATTGTATCGTCTTTCCATTGGGGGAAGATCAGGTTGCAACAAACAGGCATCTTAATGCAAAGTCATTCCACAGCTCCCAAGCCATCAGGATGACGTGGTGGCTGCTGGGATGAAGGTAATAATTTACCAAGCGTTTGCTGTTGCAATAAGAACTTATCAGCTGCACAATGAGGCCCATTGCCAAGGACTTGCTCTCTGCCTGCCGTAGAAGGGTGGGTAGGCAGGCAGGCAGGCAGGCAAGGCAACCTTTCCAACAGAGACACGGAAGAGAAAAAGACGGGGTCGCTGGTGCATCCTGATTGGAATTAGAATAGCAGACTGGGGGGGGGGGGTTTCTAACGCAGGTGAAAGACTTATACCGAATCTCAGGTTGGCCTATTTAAATAAGGCGGCTTGTATTATTTTTTTTCCCCCTCCTCTGGGCATGCTTTGTGCTAAACCCTCATGCGTTTTATGCGCACCCTATTTATGTCTGAATAGGGCCTGCAAGCCAACCACAAGTTTGCTTAATTTCTATCCCTGTCCATCTCAAACTTTTGTGAGCCACCGGAGAAGAGCAGGCTAGATTATTTGCTGGCTAATTGACTTGCAGCCTCAAAATCTCCACAGTGGGAGAAAGCATCCTGGGGGCGAACAGGAAGCCAAGGGAACAAAGAGCCCTGGGGAGGGATGGAATGAGAAAGGCCCATTGTTATGCCAGCCCTTGAGAAGGGGAGGGAAACACTTTCTCTGACGGTCCCTTTTGGCCTGGCACTTTCCCCGAGTATATTGGGAAGCTTGGATAGAAAGCCTGGCTTAACTACATTGTTTGATTTGTAATTCTTTCCTGGGTGCAGAGAACTTGAATCTTGAGAGGGGTCCTTGGTGCTCTCTGAGCTGGCTTGTTTTCTTGCAGGCGTTTCATTACCCTAACTA